ATGACATGTGTTCTTCAAGACAGTCTTGGTGCATTGGATAACAATTTGATTTGCTGGTTTTGTAGGACTCCGAAATCAGGTTTTTGCACAACCGAATAGACATTTATTCCTAAATTTGGTATCCAATTAATCCAAAATGATACAGTAATATCCTTTGTTACTCACGTCATTAATAGTAAGGAATGTGTTTCTTAAGGTAGTCTTGGTAGCATTGGATAACAATTTGATTTGCAGGTTTTATAGGACCTTAAAATCTGGTTTATGCAAAAGAAAATAGACATTTTTCCTAAGCTTGGTATCCAATTACTCCAAAATGATACAGTAATATCCTTTGTTATTCATGTCCTTACTAGTATGGAATGTGTTCTTTAAGGCTGTCTTGGTGGCATTTGATAACAATTTGATTTACTGTTTTTTTAGGACTCTAAAAAATTATGCACAATCGAATAGACATTTTTCCTAAGTTTGGTATTCAATTACTCCAGAATGATACAGTAATATCATTTGTTACTCATGTCAATGTGATTTTCAAGAATGTCTTGGTGGCATTGGATAACAATTTAATTTGCTGGTTTTATGGGACCTTAAAATCTGGTTTATGCACAAGCGAATATACATTTTTCGCGTGTTAAATATTTTTTAAATATTTAACAAGTGATATTACTGTATAATTTTGGATTAATTGGATACCAAATGTCTATTCGGTTGTGAATAAACCAGATTTCGGGGTCCTATAAAACTAGTATGGAATGTGTTTATCAAGAAGGACTTGGTTCCATTGGATAACAATTTGATTTGATGGTTTATAGGACTCCAAAATCTTTTTCTAAATTTGCTATCCAATTACTCAAAAATGACACAGTAATATCACTTGTGACTAATGTTCTTGGTAGATTGGAATATTTTCTTCAAGACTGTTTTGGTTTTATTAGACAACAATTTGATTTGCTGGTTTTATAGGATTTGGTTTATGCACAAACGAATAGACATTTTTCCTATGTTTGGTATTCAATTATTCCAAAATGATACAGTAATATGACTTGATACCCATAACATTAATAGTATAGAATGTGTTTTTCAAGACCTTATTAGTGGCATTGGATAACAATTTGATTTACTGGTTCTATAGGACTCTGAAATGTGGTTTATGCACAACCGAATAGACATTTTTCCTCAGTTTGGTATTCAATTATTCCAAAATTATACAGTAATATCACTTGTTACTCATGTCATTAATGGTATAGAATGTGTTCTTCAAGACTTTGTTAGTGCAATTGGATAACAATTTGATTTGCTGGTTTTCTAGGACTCTGAAATGTGGTCTATGCACAACCGAATAGACATTTTTCCTAAGTTTGGTCTTCAATTACTCCAGAATGATACAGTAATATCATTTGTTACTCATGTCATTAATAGTATGCAATGTGATTGTCAAGACTTTCTTGGTTTCATTGGATAACAATTTGATTTGCATGTTTTATAGGACTCCGAAATCTGGTTTATGCACAACCGAATATACATTTTTCCTAAGTTTGGTATTCATTTACTCCAAAATGATACTGTACAATCAGTATACATGCATGACATTAATAGTATGGAAGGTATTATTTAAGGATTTCATGTTCTGATTTAAGAAGAATTCGATTTTTTTGGTTTTATAGCACTCCAAAATCCCTTTTATACAAAACCGAATAGATAGTTTTGGTATTCAATTACTCAAAAATGATACAGTAATATCACTTCAAACATATATCTGGGATACATGAGAATAAGATCTTTAAGAATTTAGGGATGTGATTTTATAACAATTTGATTTGCTTATTTAATAACACTCCAAACCTTTTCAAAACGTTACACTGTTCTACAGATAAGAAGTGGTCTTTCTGGTGTATATTTGTGGATTAGACCTCGTTAAATCATGTTTATTTAGGTGTAAAACTCGTTTCTGTTCCAAGCGCCAGTCTCCGCTCCTCCGGGTGCGCTGTGCACGCTGCTACAGTAAAACACGGTTTAGACGCGCACTTCAGTTTTCGGTGTAGATAGCGCGACCGAGCGTTTTCTAAGTGCAGATGGCGTGACCGCGGTTTATTTCTGGCATGTCCTTCATCTCTCCCTTTTGTGCTTTTTGCCCAGCACTCTTTACAACTGCCGCTTCGGGGCATCAACTTGCAGATAAATCGCTTTTTACACCTTTAATCAGGCTCAAAGTAGCCCCACACCTCATTCGTAGAATCCAGAGAGCCCTGACGTTTAAAAGGAGGCGTTAATAACTTTAAAAGTGCACAAGAAGTTTATTAAAAACGCTGTTTACAACATGTAGCGTACCATAATCTCTGGGGACAGCCATCTTAAAATAATAGTGGTTTTTAATAAACTTCTTGTGCACTTTTAAAGTTACTAAGGCCTCATTTTAAATGTCAGGGCTCCCCAGATTTTACTAATGAAGTGTGAAGCTACTTTGAGCCTGGATAACGGTGTAAAAAGCGATTTATCTGCTGGGTCAAGTGGATGCCCCGAAGGGCCCCAAGAGTAAATTTTACACCGGAGTTCTCCTTTAAGGCTACTTTGAGTTTGTTAATGGCGTAAAAATAGTCATTGCTTTGCCTGTGCAACACTATGCCCCTATCACTAGCATTGTAAGCCTGATGGGAGCATCGGCTGAAAGCGCTGTATTTCGTAATGCAAAAGGAGATGGGCTATTTGACAAAACATTACACGTGTTATCATGTTTCACTATACACCAAGTCTAGGAATGTCTTTTAAAGTTCCATTCACTGCTCACACAGATGGTTTGACAGGTAAAATGTGCATTGTATAGTCTTAGGTTTTAGGTGTGTGCTTAATATAATACAGGATACATGATAAAAGCACAGTGCATTTGACAGTGTTGTCTACTTCTCTGCGTTGTGGTGGTATGTGGATTTGTTTGAATCTTTTTTTCATATTTTCTTCTAGCACAGCAAACAATATTAAGGAAGACTAGTGACATCTGCTGTCATCAATCAATAGACATTACAAGATTGTCATATTAAATACAGATCAGCACTGCTGTGTGGACTGACTGAGCAATGAGACATGGAAACATTTTAGGAGTTGACAGTTAGGCAAAGTCACTTTGCTCTCATGATGATCAACATTGAGTGAAATGTGTGCTAATTTTCAATGATAGGGCAGGTTTGTTGATGTAGGACATACATTGTGTGGTAGTCTTGATCAAGTAAATATACCATACGTTCATATGTTTGGAGACACCTGCTTATGCTTGGGCTAGTGCTAATGTTTGATGAAACACTTCAGTATAATATTCTGGGGTGGGGGTGGGGGGCTTTACATTGTTCAGAAGGTATCATAAGGTACATAAGTGGCTGGTCCAGAGGTTTTCCCATTGTATAGGCAAAGCCTTTTTCTATTATATTACAAAAAAAAAAAAAGATTTTTCATGCTGTGTCCTCTTTTCAACTCCTGCATCAGCACTAAATGCACTTTAAAGTAGCTGAATTCAGCTGGAAAAAAGTCCTGGCTACTTTTATATATATTATGCACAATGTATATTGGAAATGAACTTTAACTCTAACTGAACAGAATATTAGAAATATCAATGAATTATGCATTCAAATATGATTATAATGATTGTTACAATTTCTACTTAATATGCATTAGGCCACTGCAGATAACTTTCTATTTCTTTTTGTATTCTTGTACGTGACTCCCATTTACCTATTTCACAGTGAATGCTTTCATGAAGAACTCATGAAGAGCTTTGATTCCTGAGACTTTTAAGCTGGCGCAAAAAATACCCACTTGCCCACTGCTGGAAGGTCTGAAAGGTAAGGTGTGTTTATATTAGCACTGCTTACTTTACTACTACTACACTTAACATACCCCCTCTCTTAACCGATTTCTGTTTCCCTAACAACACAGCCTGCAGTGTGTGCCACAATGCCAGAGATAATACAGAATCAGCCTTCTACTCCAAAACGGTACAGATGGATTTTTTTTTTTGTCATACATGACATATTAGGTGCAGATGTAAACAAGTTGTCATTAATAGTGTTATATTTAGTCATTACATGTTAAAATGTGAATATAAGTATGATGCCAAATGCAGTGTATATCTTTGTATATTTTTTCTGTCACGTTATCAGCCTGCTCTTATGTTCTGTACAGCTGTCCGGTCACATAATTGTTATTTTCTAAAGTTTTATTCAGATTTTCAGTTTTTAACTAATTATTTAAAACATGTAAAGGTGCATTGCATGTAAAGGTGAAGAGACTTTATAAAGTTGAAAACATTCCACTTCATTCACCAACTGAAATTTTCTACCAAAATGTTTAGAAAGATATTTTGGTGAATGAGGCACAATGGTTTCTATTTAAAATTAGTGTATGTGCTAATTTTATTATGTTTTGCTTAATTTCAGCAGGAAGAAAAACAAAGAGACCCACAATGCAGGTGAGGATGTAGTATGGTAAACCTTTTCCATGTTTTTAGCTGTAAGTAAGTGCCTCTGGTTGTCTGTAGCATATAGCACATACTGATTGGCTAGTATTTTTTAAGAACTATTTTATTGATTGTTGAACTAAACTTAATTTAACTTGTATTCCATACAAGTGTATCTGATTATCCTATATATATACTTGAACTACAAATAATCTGTAGGTAGACAGGTTAGACACAGTTCTACATGCCTACTGTTACAGTCTTATCTATTATTATTTACTACTGTGGTTTCCAGCACTGTCCATTTAGGTTATGCTGCTTCATTTGCCTCATATCTCCTTTTATGATCTCTGGATGTATTACTTTTTTATATTTTTCTCTCAGTGGAAAGACACCGCAAAGAGAAGATCAATGCTGGTATAAAGCGAATTGGAGACCTGTTGCCTTGCTCTCAGACCTTAAAACAGGTATTTCAAAATATAGCAAGCTTGTTAGTGATGATTATAATTGCATATTACATTGTTAAGTTTCTGTATTTTTTTTTTTGCAGAGCAAGAATATGATTCTAGGAGAAGCATATCGTTACATTAGTGAGCTAAAGCAACAGAATGATGCAATGCTTCTCAATGGAGGAGACAAAGTCCAAGGTAAGAAACTCTGCCGTGTAGGATGCTAACAGCACCAGATGCTGATTCCTGTAATATTATAATAATAGTGTTGTAATATTACTGCAATGATATATTGATAGATTTGATCAGTATGCAGTGTCTTCATCTTTTTTAAGAACTATATTGATCATGTCTCTGCAGCGGAAGAGATAAAACGCTTGCGGCTGCAGTTGGAGGACTTAAGAAAGGAAAGTGGTCATTACATTGAGCTCCTCAAAGCAAACGGCATCAACTTTTTGGATGACCCCACAATACACTGGAAAGGCAAGCAGCGCTCGGCAAAAATAGCCAAAATAACACCAACTCATTTGATGTCGAAAGGGATAATCATCAGCTCTAATGGAACTTCTACTGGTCCTACAGGAAAAATGGCCATACAATTGAATCCTGCTTCTCACAATGATAAGCAGCCAGTAAATGCTATACCCATCCAACCATCTTGTGACGTTCAAACTCTTGGTGTCCCAAATGGAACACCAATAAATGAAATTATAGTCTCTTCTTCTACAGCTTCTTCTACACACATTCCATTGGCGACTCTGATTCCTGCTGTCTCTAAACCCTGCCTTGCAGTGGTAGAGCAGTACACTGCTGTGGCACCAGTTGCTCCAAAATTGCCCCCCCCAGTAAATTATATAACTCTTCAAGGGTTATGTCCTAAGGTTGCAGTTACTGCTCCCCTTCAGCAAACCCAGCCAGCCCACCCAACACCAAGTCTTGCGTCTTCCACCAGTCTCACAGTGCCTCTTCAAATCCAGCCTGTAATTGGTGTAAACTCCTTGCCTCAAACTATGGTCAGTAACCCCGTTGTGTCCAGTGTGTCTACTGTGTTTCAGCAGGATACAGAAAACAGATCACTTACCCATACAATACCAACCAGTTCTACCATTCACAGAACCAGTGCTGCTAGCAGCACACAGACCACATGGACAACACTACAACTAACTGGTAACACAGTACAGCCTGTCTGTCAAGCTCTGGCCATAGAATCCAATTCAACTGGGCAGAATGTTCAGCATCTATCTGTATGTCCAGTTGTGGCAAATCCACCACTTCATCCCACTCCTCTCCAAGTTCAAACACAAAGCCCTATGCAACTGCAGCCTCCACCACCTACACAAATTCCTGTTAAGCCTAGACCTCCCCAGTTGTATCCAGCTGTAGTTCCCTGTCCTCAGACAGCTGTAATTTCTCAGACATCACAGTACTCTGCGTTGATACCACTGCTTCAACCTGCGATACTTCATCAGCCATCTGTTGTACCTCAAACAGCATTATTGACTCAGCCTCAAGCAGCTGTCATGGCTCAACCTGCAGTTTTACCAAAACCTTTTCCTCCAACTTCGTCCCACTCTTACCCTGCCATACAGCCCAAACCTCAGCTTCACCATGCTGTACCACCTTGGCCTGAACCCCAGCCTGGTGTGCCATCTCAGCCTCAAGCCCATCCAACAATGTTGCCCCAGGCCCAACCTGCCATTGTGCCTTCACTTCAGCACGCTATTGTGCCCCAACCTCAAGCTGCCACACTGCCAGTACTTCAGACCATGCAGGTCCTTCAGATGAACTCTGATGTCACTCCAGTTATTGGGACATCTCCCTCACAAAACAATCCAAATGTTGTTATTCTACAGCAGGCTGGCCAATGCACAGCTCCGCAAGTAATTAGAGATGATGTGAACAGTCAGACACCATGCCAGCACATTGTGATAATTCAGACACCAACTATGACGCCCACTCCACAAAATCAAAGTACTGTTGTGCCAACTACCACCCCTGCTTTGCATAATCAGATAATTACTTCCAGCTCCCCCTGCACCACTGCTATTCAAACAAATGTGACAAAACAGCTGGTTCACATCCTCCCACGGCCTACAACGCAGGCACAGACACAGGCACCGTTACAGGCGCAGACACAGACGCAGACACAGATGCAGGTACCAATACAGGCACAGATGCAAGCACCAACACAGACGCAGACACCAATACAGACACAGATTCAAGCACCGACACAGGCACCACAGACTATAACTGTGAACGGACAGGTTTATGTTTTACAGTCAGTGAAGTCAGCGGAGAAAGGAACTTCTCAGGTTAGCCAAAGTTCTACTCAAATCATTCAACCTACAAGTGAGGAATCCAACACCAATGTTGCATTAAATTGTTTGGGTGCTCTCACTAGCCTTAGCCAGAGCATTCCACAGGTCACAAGTCAAAGCAATGTGTTGCATACCATTGCTCCACCTTCGTGCACTACAGTACAGTCTGTTCCCAAGGCTGCTTCTTCCCGAGTCACTGCTTCTGCTGAGACTGTTCTGTCACCCACCGCACCTGTGTCAACATCAATCAGTTGTGCAGTCACCATCCTGCCAAAGAAGACTGATGTGGTCTCTGTAAATCAAACAAAACCAATATCTATTAAAAGGACAAGATCAGCCAGTAGAAAAGACCCAAAACAGAGGAGAAGCATGAGCCAAATTGCTGCCAAACCAGCACATAAAAAGGCTTCAGTTGGAAATGTTACAAAAGTACATTCATCTGCTACAAAAGACAGTAATACCATAAAACCTGCTGTTGAAGATATGAGCCATAAAACTAGCAGTCAGAACAAACCTGTTGTCATCAGTGTTGCTTCAGTGTGCAGTAGTTCCTCAATCATCTCTTCAAGTTCAAGTAGTACAATAACTGGAAATTCTATCTGTGCTTCAGAAAGTGGATCTACATTGACATCCGTAGTCAATGCAGTAGAAGCATCAAAGAGTAAAGAAAAATCTACTGAGGTCACCCCATCAACATGCAGTGTAACTGTTAGTGTAACAGATAGTACTGTAACTACTGCAACTGCTGCAAGTACTGCTGCAAGTCCAGCTCAGGCTAGTTTAGTAACCCATACGATGAGTGGTGCTGTTTTAACCAGTGGTGCCAACCTTCAATCAAATAAGTCAGCAGAAAATGTTCTTTCTTCTAAGTGTAATACATTGGACAATAGTGTTAAATCATTCACAGGATCTACAGTGAGTGGTAATTCCACTTCGAATGCACTGACTAAAATAGTTTCTCAAAATACGATGACAATATACAATAGTTCTACAAGCTGCACACCAGCAGAAGGAAGTGCCAGCTTAGCCCAGAAAAGAACAACATTAACCAGTGGCAGCTCTACAGAAAATAAATTGATTTCGTCAGTTGAATCTGCCCTTCGCCAACCCCAGGGTATACATTCAGGCACTAATGTTGGTTCTACAACAAGTGGACCAACGGTTTCCCTCTCACAGAACATTCCTCAAGTTCAAACTAATTCTAGAACAGAGAAAACCGGTCAGTCAGTGGAATCTCCACAGGTTCAGACACCCTATGCTTTGCCTGCAACACCATCACCTTGCTCCAATCCCTCTACATTAGTTCCAACAGCCTCAACACCACCTGTTTTGTCTCAAGAATCTAGGAATTTGACCACCTTTGGCAAGCCGCCTAAGCAACAAATGATGCCTGTGCAACCAGCTAGTCACATCAATACATTAAGTACCAAACTTCTAGAATCAAATCAGAATAATGAACCTGGCAGTGGTAAACACTCAAGTGAGACCACTAAGGAGGTAACTCCGTCAAGTTCATTCTCACAAAAAGAGACTGTTCTATCACAGGAGGTATCTACATTGGAAAATGAATCCTTTGAATCCCCGCTAGTGTCAAATAGGCAGACTGATTCACCAATGGCAGGAGGTTCTAGTAGCAGGGGCTTTTCAGTTGCATCGCTGCTTCCAACAGGCCATAATATTACTTCTTGTCCTAATACGTTTGGCACTTTTAGCTTCACCTCTGAGCAGGCAGAAATCTTAGCAATGGCGGCTAGAGCCATTTTTGAGCAAGACAGTCCAGGAAGAAGAAGTGGTACTTGTAGTGGTGAGAACCCAGCAAGTACAACTTCTGGTGGATGGGATCTTCCAAAACCACAGCAAACCCCCACCATCAAGGAAAGGGTTACAGGTCAACAGTTAAAGCAAGCAAAGCAGGCTGACCTCCCTATTCCAAAGACTCCTTCCCAAGTTTCTGTTCGAGGTCCTCTGGTGGAGGTTTCAGGCAGCGGTACAACTGGTGTCCGGCTTCCACTAAGCATGGCTTATTCTCAGTCTCAGTCGCAGCCTAGTACTCTCACAAGTCTTAATGTGAATAACCTTATCAGACCAAGCTCTGTACAGCCCTACCCAGGGTCTCCGAACCTTGGTCAGCAGGTTTCTGTTCCATCACCAGGGGGAGCAGCAATTTTAGTGTCTCAGTCATCTCAGGTTACCCCGAGCTGCTCTGGCCCAGGACAAGTTAATGAATATCCACCTTTGAAAAGTTCTCTGATGCGAACTCATGCAGGTGCTGGGATAGGTGAACGACATCAAAAAGATATGCCAAAACGCTCTGCCCAAGAGGACCTTGTTCTCCCAATAAACAAGCGTTCAAAGCCATGCCCAGCTGCCAGTGTTGGTAGGATAGATGTTAAGGCGTCAGAACATAGTACTCTGCGTTGATACCACTGCTTTCCTAGCTCCTCAACAGTTATGACGAGGAATCACTCTGATGGCGGAGGCCCACTGTTTTCTGGGAACACTTTCATGAGCACTGTGCTTCGACCATCCGATGGACACTGCCCTTCTCAGCTGGCACCACATGAGCAAAATCCATCTAGTGTTGTGCACCTTCAACAAGGTCACTTGCAGCATGCCCCTGCACAGCCTGGACAGAATGTGGGGGGCAACCATTACCTTAAACATCAGCAACAACAGGAGCAACAGAGGCACCTCTACCAACTTCATCATCACCTTACACAACCTGACCCTCAGATCCACAATATTCAACAGAGGACTTTGTTACAAGAACAGCATGTTCACAAAAAGAGAGTAGTACGAAGCAGTCAGACAGGACCCCCTGTAGTTTTGCAGAAACAACATCACTTGGAAAAGAATAGTGTGCAGCAACATCAACAGCATCAGCAACAGCAGCAGCAGTCTCAGCAGCACCAACAGCAGCAACAGTCTCAGCAGCACCAACAGCATCAGCAGCAGCATCAGACACAACAAAAACCACAGCAGCAACAACAGTCACACCAACAACAACAACAACAACAGCAGCAGCAAATACAGCAGCAGGGCTCACATTCACGCCATCAGCATCTTCAGCAGCAAATTCAGCAGCAACAACACTTTGGAAGTAGGCAAGAAAAGAATTGCGAGGGCCAACAGGCTGGCCCCAGGGCTCATCAAACCAGCCATTTGAGTCAGCAGGATCGGCAGACTGGGCAGGATCACGGAGCTATGCAAAGACTCATGGGTTCCCGCACTTTAGAACAGCAATTGACCTCACAGGCTAGCAATCCTGTTTCTCGTTCATCAGATCTTGCCTGTCCACCATCACGACAGGAGCGCCATCGTCTCTCAAGTTATTCTGCTGAGGCACTTATCGGTAAGACTTCTTCTGCTGGTGATCAACGCATGGGACTTCATCTTCAGGCTTCTCGAGGCAGTTCACAGGATCAATCAGAATTGCAAGGTTATGTTGACTCCTCACGTAGCAAAGGGAATATTGCCCACAATCCTCAAAGTAGGCTACCCCAAGATCACACAGGAAATGCAGATATCCAGCGAATATCTGATTGTTTGCCTTTCAAAACTCTTGTTAGTGGGCATCAACTTAGTAACTTTGAAGTGCAGGTGTCTCGAAGTGGTGGTGACATGAGCAGTAAGCCTGTGGCACCGGGTCAGAGAGGTCCTCAAGCTCAAGCAGGATTCCGAATAGGGTCAGGTCCCTCTGGGGATGGACGGGCACGGGGGACCTATGGACCACATTCTTCGGCACAGGTGGTACAAGCTGGAGCAGGGCTGCCACGTGAACAAGAGGGATGCCACCAGAGCTTTATGCAAAGTCTTTTGGCCCCTCACCTTCCTGAACAAAGTGGGACACCAAAGAACCACACAGGGATGTCCTCCAGTGAGTGTTGAGTATAATTGTGTTCCTGGAGTTTCTTCTGGAGATCTTCAGGCTAAAGCCTCAAGTCCTAACTTGCACCCCACGCAGACAGCTCCTCCCATGCACATTGGGGACAACAATAAAGGACATATTTCTCAGGTTAGTGGAAATTTACATGGCCCAGCTGTGAGATCCGTTCTACCACATCCTCCTTCAACACCACACAGCAGCTCGGATACAGGGCACGCGCAAGGTTCCAACAGGTCGCTACCAGCTGTCAGTCAGCGAAGCCACCATGTTGGACCAGATCCCCAAAGCACAAAGATCCGCCCGGGAGATCGACCTAGATCGGGCAACTTGAGACCTGTGAATACATTTGAACCGGAAGGTTCTTTGTCACTTCCATCAGGTGGAGGAGTACTGCTTGGGCGCTCGCAGACGAGTGGCGAGAATCGGCGTAGAAGTATTGTACGTTTCATGGCAGACGGTGCACCGGTCAGCAGTGACAACAACTTGGTCTCAGACCAACATCTCACCCAGAACTTTGGCTTTCCTTTTATTGCAGACAGTGGTATGAACCCTCCACCACCGATTAATGCAAATGCCTCGTTTATCCCACCGGTCACCCAGCCCAGTGCCTCGCGTACACCTGCACTCCTTCCTGTAGAGCCTCAGAACTCTCTCCCTTCTTTCTACCCTTCCTATTCACCCGCTGCTCATCCGAGCCTTCCGAGCGAGATTCCTTTGCAGTATTTCTCTAACCAGATGTTTACAAGTCCTAGTGCTGATAAGAGCAGCAGTGCCCCTCTGAACAATCGCTTTGGCTCTATTCTCTCTCCACCTCGTCCTGTGGGCTTCGCACAGGCCAGCTACCCACTGCTTACAGACATTACACCGATGCCTATTGCAAACTCCTCGGGCATTACTCCTCATTTATCCAATTTTAACCTGACTTCTCTGTTTCCGGAAATAGCCACAGCAATGCCCCCTGATGGCTCATCAATGCCCATGTCTCCTTTACTGTCTCTTGCCAATACTTCATCATCAGACTCTAACAAGCAGACTAATCGTCCAGCCCACAATATCAGTCACATTCTTGGTCATGATGGGACATCTGCTGTTTAAAGCTGTAATTGCAAGGTTTTGAATGTTGGCTTTACTTGGCACAGGACTAAAGCATCTTTTCTGTTTATTAAAGTGAAAAATGTGTCCTGCTACACATGTATTTTGGATCATGCAGGTAATTTTTGTTTTTTTGAGCCATTGTAAACACTGTCTGCTATATTTCTGAATCAGTTGGTAACAAACAAACTGGACCATGTTTCAGTTAATCTGCACTGAGACTACCCTGTTTGGTTTGAATAAATTGTGGTTCTTTGGTTCAGACCACGGTTCGCAGCACCTTTCACACCTGCTACAGTCCCAAAATCTGTACCAAACAAGGTAGGTGTGAAAACACCCTAAATTTTAAAGTTTAAGTAGTCTAATCCATTTCCAGAGTTGTAGCAGGCAGTATTAATTATTAATCATGATGAGGTGAGCAGCACTGTTAGCTTAAGCCTAGATTGTTTTTCAGTAAAACAAATAATATCTGTGGTATTAAAAGCCTAAGTGACTAATGCAGTTTTTATCTGGTGTATGATGCCACAACAGATATGCCCAGTGTTTTTGTGAATAACCGGCTCCACTAATCTTTTAGCAGCTGATGGATTTTCAATGACTTGTTATAAACAAGTTTTTTTTTAAAGATTTTTCCTGAAGGGAATACGATTTTCTGTGATTAGTACGACATCAACGAGTTAAATACACTTTTACTTATTTATGGAAATGTATTTGTGTTGTGTAGATATTGTAAATACACAGAGGTGATTATTAAAATGTTTTTGTTTTGTAACTAAAAGTGTGGTGTGTTTTGTTTTGTCTCAGACTCAACTAGGGCATGAATGTAAGGTATTTTTAATGTGTAACCAAATGCGGGAATGTAGACAATAATGTTGACACAAAGATGTTTTCAGTAATTATCTGGTTTTCTGTGTAAATGGTTTCTAACCTTTTCAGTAAACTTTAATATCATCAATAAGGCAGTAATTAATAGTTTGTTATTCATTATATTTCAACAGTGTCTAATAGTTTAAATCATTTTGTCAGTGAGTAAATTAAGAGTAAATTAAAACATTGAGTATTTTTTCATTTTTGGCCTTCAATTAAAATAAAAAGATTTAAAGTTAATTGTAAACAATAGTAACTATGATCTTTTCAACCACATATCACTTAATAAAGTATAAATTAATGTTTTTATTAAATGGAATGTACTGGACATGTTTACATTGTATTTTTTTATTAGAAACCAGTTCATGTTATTTTTTCATAGTAATCCTTACAACATAGATTTATTTTATAAATATGCAGGTGAAATTTGCAGTTAATTTTTTTAGGATTTTGAGTATGTTGTGAAGTAAGAATTGTGTTTACAAACTATTGGCAGACCTACTACATTGCCATTGAAGCAATGAGCTTAAAAAGGTAGGATTTGATTTGTAAATTAATTTGTATTGTTTAAAAGAAGAAAAATGGTGTACTTTGGTTACAAGGAAACTGTTGCTGCAGAAAGAGCTTATAATCCACTAATCAACAGCATTGATTTTGGGAGACACTTTATTACCCCATCTACAACCATTAGTTACAAAAATGATTAGAAAGTAAACAAACAAAAAACAAACAAACTTTGAGTTTGTTGAAATAATTGTATACACATTTTCCATTGGAGTTAAAGGTCTGGTGATTGAGTTGCCAAGACATCACCTGATTTTCCTCATTCCTTGGCACTTGGGGTTTTGCACTTTGCATTGTCTTGTTGGCAGATCGTCATTTTTTGTGGTTTTCCAGCAAAGAATTGGTTGATAAAATGGATGAAATCATTGTGTGGGGAATATGAGCAATTCCTTTTGACTGCCAGGTTATTATGTCAGTGCTTTTAGTCTGGAATCTTTTAAGTCTGTGGATCTTTTAATCCACAGTTTTGGTCTTGCTGCAACACTGTGGTGTGAAAGAGTATGGACTTGTTAGTATCAGTATAAGTAAATTTGATTTAAATACCATAAAAAATAAATACAATGATCCATGATATAAAATAACATTCATTATTATTTGTTTTTAATTATGAATTTGTGGGAGGTGTAGTGTAATATGAAAGGGACAAAGTTTAACTGTAATGTTTTGCTCCAGTGAACAGGACTGAGAGGGTTCCTCTAAATATTGAATCCAATAGATTACTGATTACCTGTTCAAAAACGTAGTTGTAATGTAATGCAAAGGATTACTATATTAAAGTAATGCAAGCTAAGTATATGACTTTGTGAAATGCTTGTCTTTTTAAAGTGAAAAATTAAAATAAATGGTTTAAAATCTTTACATATAAATTTACATAAAAAACATCCTCTGTCTACACCACATATCAAACCATCTCATGTGTACTCCTGACATTCTTGCTTTTTCAATTTCCTTGTATCCTGATTAAGCAACACTGTTACATATGTATTCTGTTACTACCCAGCCCTTTTAATGA